GCCACCATGCCAGGCTAATTTTTTCTATACATATTTTTAGCTGTCCAATTAATTTCTTTCTATTTTTGGTAGAGATGGAGTCTCACTCTTGCTCAGGCTGGTCTTGAACTCCTGAGCTCAAACGATCCACCTGCCTCAGCCTCCCAGAGTGCTAGGATTACAGGCGTGAGCCATCGCGCCGGGCCAGAAAGAGTTCTTAAACAAGATGCAAAAAGCATAGACCATAAACGAAACTAACAAATTTTGCTGCATTAATTATTCAAAATGTAAAATTTCTTGAGAAGGCACAAAACTCCAAAAATAAATAGATAAGCCACAAATTGGCAGAAGATATTCATAATCGATACAGCTAGCCAAGGATTAAGAACAAGAATATATAAAGACCTCCCACAAAACAAGAAAATGCAGATTTAGATTATGGTGATAAAACATTTAAAATTCATCAAATTGGCAAATTTTTAAACTCCAGCCATACCAAGTGATTAGGTGATATGAAGCAATGAGTAAACACACTGCAGGTGAAATGAGAAACTGATATACTACTTTGCAAAAAAATTTGCACTATCTTGTAAAGTTCAATATTTGTACCTTACAAGTCACCAATTCCACTTCTAGGAATATATACAGAGAAACTCTTGAATACACGAGACGTGTACAAAAATGCTCATTAACTGATAAATGGATAAAGTCATGCCATGGAATACAATACAACTAAAAAAATGAATATAACTACATGGGTCAATGTAGAAGAATTTCAAATAATAGTAACTAAAAATAGAAATTTGCAGAAAAATGCATTTAGTATGAAAGCATTTATCTTAAGTTTAAACATGAAAAATATAATTCTTGATTGTTTGAGTTATATACATAGTAAAGGTACAGGGAAGACAGAAATGACAACACCAAATTAAGGTTAGTAGGTAGAGGGTAGGGTGAAGAATGGTAGACAAAGCAATTGGGGATGGGAACCCAATTGCATAAACAATGATAGGTACATTATTCTTTACACCTTTTTGTATGTCTAGAATATTTCATACATTTTAAACAAAAGCTATACATAAATAACTTATACTGACTTAAGTTTAAAAAAATAAAAAAAAAACCAACAGACGAGTGATTCTTCCAAACCCATTTTTTAACTGGCTATAACATCAACCAGTACTTTTCTGTTTACTTAACCACCTTACATTACTAAAACAACTTCTCATCTTTGAATATAGTGTGCCACCTTGTGTTCAAGAGCTTCTAACTACTAAAAATTCAGAGATCCATTTCTGTGAACATGGCTTACTCCAAAACATAAATTCCTTCATGCTGTGGCATGAGGTTTGACTTTATTAAGTTAAGCACATACGAAACTAATATTTGAAAATATTATTTTGATTCTGAAGAAGTTGGGAATACTTTATATTTCTTTTGATTTCTTTTTCATTTTACTGTACTTTCAGAGAATAACTTGCCTTTTTTTTCTTGATTTTAACCATATGAATTTTTTTAAATGAGTAAAATTAAAAATGACAGAGATTTAAAATGCTAAATTATACTTTCATAAAGAAACTTACCTTTGAATGTGTGATTGATAAGGTGTCTACCCACACACGCCAGCCACCCCACTCGTATTTGATTGCATGGTAAAGTAGGATTCTGAATATGGCATACACCATTTCTGTTATCTTTTGCTCATCTGAATTCTTAGGATTAAAATAGCAAAGAGAAAGCATCCACTCTTGCCACACAGAGCATTGCAATAAACTCCTGAAAATTATAAGAGGGTAATGAATTACTGGAAAAATGCTATCATCTGAAAGAATTCTAGAATATAAAGGTTTACAATAAAATAAACCACCAAAAACCCACATTTATGTATATATTCAAACAGTTCAACAATGTAGTGCTAAAACCTTTAATTTATATGGAACATTATTTAACACACCCTTAATGAAAAAAACATATGGAAAAGTCATTACACAGTATTTCTTAAGCAATTTTCCTAACAAAATAGGCTTATACAATAGCAGACTTAGACACTGTAAATAAATGCTTTCTGATCCAGCTTACCTCCTGTTTTCTCTACTGTTATTAAAAAGTTTAATCATGTCAGAAAGAAAGGCTCTGCGAACCTCCATGCTCTCTGGGCACTGGGGAGAATTTCGAAGTAGGGTCGCAATTACTTTTAGTATCTCTGTAAGATAGTTTATAAATAAATAAAAACTAAATACAACAAAAAATTCATGATATAAGGTCATCAATATACTGCAATTTCTTCAGTTTCCCTGAACAAATGTCTGCTGAAAACATCCTCTTCTGTGTTATAAAGA